AAATATCCCTGGTAAATATCCCCTGGAAAATCAACTTTTCTTACAACTGGGGGATGACTTCGCACTCCCGCCCCGTGACAAGGCAGATGCAGTGTTTCAACTAATCAAGAACGTTGAAAATAATACTAAAAAATGTTCGGTTTCAATTGGATATCAGGAATTGTTTCATTCCCTTAATCCCTTAATAATTTAGCTTCTGACACCTGACAGCTTAGTCCTCACTATCAGGAACTTTTTTATCTATATAAATCAACTAAATCATTCTTAAATAACAATCCAAATGTTATGAGGGCCGATAAAGGGAATGCCACAGTAGCGTTAGATAAAAACTCTTATATTGAAAAAATAAATGGAATGCTTTGGAATGAAAACACTTCCATTAAAATAAAAAATAATGAGATTATGTCGAAAGCCTACCTAGACCTTCTTAAAATTCATAAGAAAGGTTGTCCTTTCAGGATTATCGTATCATCGGTAAATAATGTTCTTTACTCTTTGGCGTTATATCTACATCGGATCATCTTTAAAAATATTTCTAAACCACGTAGTTACATAAAAAACGATCTAGAACTGGTGAACAAATTCTCGAGTATGTCGATAGCACAAGGCTACAGTCTAATTTCTCTTAACATAGTCTCTCTGTTCCAACATCCCTCTCGATCTGGCTTTATTGTGTGTGAAAAAGAGATGGGGAGAAATTTCGGTGGAATGTGACTTACCAAAGGAGAAATTTATCAGAGGGGCTTTACTCATCCTCAATTCTACGTTTTTTAAATTCGGTGATGTTATTTATAAACAATCTTTTGGCATCCCGATTCGGACTCTCCTCTTTCTCCCATTGTTGCGGATTTAGTGCCGAGCGATTTGGAAGAAAGAGCGCTGGAGAAGTATGGAATGACGATCCCTTTTTACCTTAGATACGTGGATGACATTGCCATGCCCGTATGGAAAGGATTAAGAACTATTGAGAAACTATTCAGATTTCTATAATTATCATTCAATTTCTGTAGTAACTTAAGTAGTAACTATTGGCGATTACATGCATGAATAGGAATTGAATAATAACTGCAACTATTGGCGAATAATTCTGAAAACTATTGGCGACTATATGTATGAATAGTAATTGAATAGCATGTAATTGCCAATAGTTACTATACTATAATAGGTACTCAAGTACTATAGAAACTGAATGGTAAACTATAGAACTATGTAACTATAGAAATCTGAATAGTTCTCAATAGTTTTCAGTTGTTCCTTTCCATGCGGGGATGTAAGGAAAATGCTGTTGCTTTTTAAAAAAACATGTAATTGCATATTACGAATTGCATAATTCTTTTTTAAAAACAACTATATGTTTTCTATGCACTAATTTATTTATCTTATTGTATGCCTAAAAGTATTAAGATATAATAACAAAGACTGAATAGTTTATGAGATATTTTATATTTTATGTTGAAATGTGCAAGAGTAAAGTGTAAAGTTATTATTTTTTTGACAATTTTATCTTAATACTTTTATATGTAGAATAATCGGAGAAATCATGTATTGATTTTTTTCGAAAATTAATTTTATCATTATTTGTCTCCCTTCAAACATATATCTTTTATTTCAAATGTTTTTCCGTTTTTCTTCAATAATTTTCAAAAAATCTCAATTCGTCATTTAAAATAAGACATCCTGTACATACATTATACATTATTTAAAAAAATACAATAAAAAGATTACTAATCAGGGTATTCGTGTACTATCTAGAGTAACTGGCTATATTATTCAATACTAATATCAGATTTTTCGTGATGAAAATCGCGAATTAATAACTTATAGTTGTTTATTTCAATAGAATAGCAAACTACTCATTCTAATAGTAAAGAATAGTAAATTCTTATAATTTCTATTCGCTCCAATAGTAAACTATTTACGATTCTAATAGTAATGAATAATAAGCGCCTACAGTTACTATTCGTTCCAATAATAAACCACTTATAATTCTAATAGTAATGAATAGTAAATGCTATAACTATTCGTCCAATAGTAAACTATTTATTCCAATTTCCAATAGTAATGTCCCATAATACTACACAAAATTTCAATATTTTTCTGAATAGTTTTGAATAGTTATATTTCTCAATAGTTCTCAATAGTTCCTTTCCATACGAGTGGCGATTCCTTCCACTAAGATGAAACGCATTCTCAACATCTTCAATTCTTTATATAAGATCTAATCTAAGATTATAGTTTACGCTGGAAGAGGGAGGCAGATTCCTCAATTTTTTGGACATTTGTATCAGATTGAATGGCAATGTCATCGAAACAGATTGATATCAAAAGCCCACGTTTTCGAGAAGATATCTTAACTTTCTTTCCCAGCATCCTCTCTCCCAAAAGCGAGGGATAATTTTTAATATGGTGGATCGGGCGTTGTTATATTCATTCTTACACCCTAAATATCATCAAAAAACTTAGAACGAATTGGCATCTTGAGGGACAACGATTATTCTCCAAGCTTTATTTTTAACTCCATTAACTCACGTTTAAATAAATTTTTAACAACGAAATTTAATTTCTGTCAAAAAAAACTGTGACAACTGAGGAGGGGGAATCGAGGAAAGTCCCTTGGTTTTCTATACCTTTTATAACACAGATTGCGGGCAAAATGAAAGCAATCACCGCTGACTTGGATTCCAAGATCTCCTTCTTCAGCTTCAACAAACCTGGAGGAATGATGAAAGCACAAAAAGATCCTATTCCAACCAAACAAAACAGAAATGTTGCTTACAAACTTTCGTGTTTGAATTGCAATGTCTCTTATGTGGGACAGACATTTCAGCAGTAAAAACAAGGATTTCTGAACATCGAAATCACATTAATAGAAACAGTGCAACTTCCTTTATCATTACGGAACACAGGTTGTAACATAACCATAAATTTGACTGGGAGAATGTCAAGATCCTGAATAGGAAGTGTTTTCTAGGGAAAAGATTTGTCTCTGAGATGCTACACATTAAGGGATAACACCAATATAACCGGCCGTAAATGAGGTCTATTTTTAAGAAAGTTTATAAATTTAATGAATCGTGCTATTAAAAAATGAATTTTATAATTTTATTATACATATAAAAAAGTAAAAAAAAGTTTTTAGAGTCTTAATTATTAAAATGGCGGATATACAGCAACGTTAAGAAGACAGTAAAATTGGCACGTTCCGCGGCTAGCAGCACAAGTGTCAATAATTTTTAGTCTAGAATAAAAAAAATTTTTTATTATTTTACTCAAATATCTATAGAAATACGTAGCCGTTTTTGAAAAAATTGATTTTTGGCAAAATGACGGAAATACAAAAAAAGTTCCATTTTCGTCACAAAAAAGTCGAGTAAAATCAGCTGTAATTCAAAAAATTTATAATTTATCAAAAAAATTCTATGTATTTCTTTAGAAAATATAATTTTTTAAATACTGTCAAAATTTGAAATAAATTGATTAAAAATTATTTGAGTTTCTATTGCTAGCCAATTTGAAAAATGCTGTTTCGAGAAAAACGCGTTTAAAGTTTTGAATGTGAATATTTTTAGGTTAACAATTTAACTTTTTTACTTTTTGTGAATTTATCTTTAGTCTGCAATCCCAGCACCATAAAGTTACCCTTCAACAGTCATATTTTCATCCTCTTCGTCTTTTCTCGGGGTTTTTGTGCTCGAGCGAGCCTCTTTCACTGAGTGAGCGATCGGAGAAAGAATATGATGAAAGAATATGATGTGGTGTTCATCAGCTTTGACGCAAAAATTATAACAATTGTGATAATGCCCAGAATCCAGATGCCACCGGCCTGGCAACCGACGTAAGCATCTATCTTCATCTTAATCTACACTCGACTGTTACCATATGGACACGTAACACTAACCGCAACGGTGATTTTGTCGTTCTAAGATTTACGAGGTTTATCTAATTATTGTTTTTCTGTCTCTGAGGATAACTCAATATAGAGCCAAAACGTTGAACTACGATCACTTTTAACGTTAGATTAAGGAATTTGTCTACAATGCTGTTTTTTAATAAATTGCTACGAAACAATAACCGTGTTTGACTCTTAGCGCCTTTTTTATTCACTATTATGTAATTTCAAGAGTTAGTTAGATTTATAATTTGTTAATAATGAAAATAACAATACAGAATATTTCATATAGATTCTTTTTAATTTAAGAATCCTTAGTTTGAGAATTATTGATTCATATATAACAGTCTTCATATAAAATCGAATATATCCGAAGAATGCCGATAGTAGCCGAAGTGCAGTCTCCCCTTACCTAATCTCAGCTACTTCGCGCAACAGGCTCCATCCATATATTCTTAGATCCATATAATATACATATTCATCTACTATCTTCATGAGTCATGACAATTCAACTCAACGCTGTCTTATATTCTCTGAGTTGAGTTAACTGTGATTAGCTGGTAGAAGATATCGGATGTTTTCCATTTAGTAACTCAAGTCGACACAAGTTTAGTGATATCATCATTTGCGCTTTCCATTTGATTTGTGTCGCTATGTGTCATTGACCCAAGTCGACTTTTGCTAACTTAGGGAGTCAATCATGTAACTTTACGTAAAATTTTTCACTTTTTACTTTTCATTTTTCACACCTTGACATTTCACGTGAAACTTGTCATGTATAGCGATTATGTATGTAGCTTGGATGCATAGAAAATGAAATCATGAAAGATAGTTTCATAGGTTTTATAGCTAATGAAAATTATTTTATTGGTATAGTATTATATACATCTTTTAATAACCAATTGTATATACGTATGTACTACGTATTGTATATGTACACTTAATCCTAACGCAGCTCTAATCTTCTCTAATTCCGAAACATATTTATTAATTCTCTAGATTTCCGCCTTTCCGTCACCAAGATACATGGCGAAAAAGTTCACGTGAAAAATTTCACATTTTCATGTTTGAGAGAGTTATATGATCCCGCAAAATCGTACATGATCGTAAGTTCACGTGAAACTTTTCTCTTTTCACGTTTCCGCCCTAGGGGAAAAGTTACATGATCGACCCCTGCTTTTGCGAAGAGTTAAGGTGTGTGACATACAATTTTACCAATATCAAAAAACAAACTTACTATATTTATTTAATCAGATACATATATTTAATCAGATACATATATTCTGTTATATTGATAGTAAGAAGTGAGGTTAATAACTCAAAATTAAGAGATACGATTCATGTCAACGCTATTTCTTTTATATGGATTTATACGGATTTTTTTATACTAATAATTACACGTAAGTAAGATGATCAATCTTACTTCAATAAGTTATAAATTGGTAATCTAAAGTTTCATTTTTGCATATTAGATTATACAATGAATAAAACTGGAAATATGTTGACTAATAATTTTGTTGATTCTGAATATATACCGATATCAGATGTAAATATTTTACGAGAAAGAAACAAATAAACAAAGAGAAATTGATTTAATTTCTCATGAAGAATTTCAATGGAAAGACAAGCTTGTATGGAACAAACAAGCTATTTTTGCACTTTTATCTGCTTATGAAGCTCGTGATATTGAAGTTGATAATACAAAAAAAGTTTTGGCAATCAATTGCAAAAGATCTGAATGGATTATGTTTATTTGAAATTCAAGTAAATATTTTATTATATTTATTAATATTTATTAACCTAATCTATAAATATATTTTTATAATTAAATTAATTTGATCTGATATATTTTTCTAATATTTTTATGGTTATCAGGTAATCAAGTTAAATGGAAATTTAGTGCATCTGAAAAAAATCATAACAAAAAAAAAGATCATAATCGTATAAGTGCAAATGCTCCGAAGATTTTTGATGATTACGACAAAAGATTATATGAAATTTTGAGTCATAAAAGCGTTACTAGTGAAAGCAGTGAAAATGTTTTTAATTCGCCAATATTAGTGAATACTCAAAATATAACAACTAATAGAATATGTATTAGGTGTACAAAAAAGTTCTGAGCTTTAGATTTTATACAACCGAAATAACAATTTAAATTTTATATATCTTCCCGCCCTTTTGCGGTTTTAAAGCGTTGACATTTGGCCTTCTAAAATGCCATACAGTTTGGTGTTTGCACATAACTTCAAAAATCAGTAATGTTCACGATGGCAATAACAAAAGAGCATATTCGATTTTCCATCCACTTCGCGTTTCATCTGAAGAAAATGCTGCTGAAGCCACTGCAATGATTTGTGTTGCATATGGAGAGAACGCTGTAAGTCATACTACATGTAAAAGATGATATCAAAATTTCGCCAAGGAGATTTCAGTCTTGAAGATGAACCGCGTGCTGGACGCCCTCAAAAGATTGAAACGGACGAATTGCAAACACTGCTGGATATAAACTCTGCGCAAACTGAAAAGGAGCTTGCAGAACAGTTTGGCGTTACGCAGCAAACCATTTCCGTACGTTTACATACGATGGGAAAGGTTCAGAAGGAAGGCAGATAGGTTCCGCATGAATTGTCCGAAGACAACAAAAATCGTCGGCGTGACACTGCATTCACTTTGCTTTCAAAGTTCCGGAAAAAAGATTTTCTGCACAAAATCATTACAGGCAATGAAAAGTGGATTCTTTATGATAACCCTAAACGTAGAAAATCATGGGTTGACCCTGGCCAACCTTCGACATTGACGCCAAAGCCCAATATCCACGCCAAGAAGGTTTTGCTTTGTATCTGGTAGGATTGGAAAGGTATATTGTATTACGAGTTGTTACAATCGGGTGAAACAATCACGGCAGACCGCTACCAACAACAATTGACCAATTTGAGCGATGCATTAAAAGAAAAGAGGCCATTTACTGGCCAAGGACGTCGTAAAGTGATCTTGCTTCATGACAATGCTCGATCACATGTTGCGAAAGCGACTCAGGACCATATCTTTGCGTTAGGCTGGGAACTTCTCCCGCACGCGGCGTATAGCTCAGACATGGCGCCTTCCGATTACTATCTATTCCGGTCGCTGCAGCATCATTTGGCTGATACACATTTCGTGAGATTTGAAGAGATACGAAAATGCATTGATGACTTTATCGCTTCGAAGCCGGTGAGCTTCTATCATCAAGAAATTCGCAAGCTACCCAAAAGATGGCAAAAGGTCGTTGATGCAAACGGAGAATATTTCGCTGATTAATATTTTTTTTGTTTGTTTTTGAATAAAGATTGAATTTTATAAAAAAAAGCTCAGAACTTTTTGTACACCTAATAAAAGAATCAAGTAATCCAAGAAAATACTAGAACAGAAGAACATAATATAGACAATATTAGCAGAAATAAAAATAGTGCAAAAAAAGACATGGAATAGGAAACACACAAAAACATCTCGAACAAAATTAGAGTTAGAGAAGCAATGATTGGAACATCTTCAGTTTATTTAGAAAAAATATGAAGATAAAAAAGAATACGAAGAAAATGAAAATAAAAAAAAATAGAAGAACTTGCATTAAAAAAAGAAAAATTAGCTTTTAAGAAGAAAAAGATGTTGTTTGAAGAATTGAAGTTAACCAAAAAGACTGAATAACATAGAGAAAAGATGTCTATTCAAAAAGAAAAATGTGATTTGTTAAAAAGCTTAATCAAGAAACAAAATATTTTTAATTTGAATAGCCGATATACATAATAATATTTATCTTAATCTCAAAAAAAACAACATATTTTTTAAATAACAAAGATTTTAAGCTATAATGTTTTCTCCAATGTAATATAATTATTAAATATATTTGTAATTGTGTTATAAAATTAAAAACTATTTTTGTTTGAAATATTATGTTTTTGTTGAAAAAAGTTAAAATGATATTTAATATGTTATAATTTTCTAATAATAAATGTACGTAATACATATATGTGAGTACATACATATATATTAGATAATAATTCGAGATGAATATTGTTATGTTA